CTTTAAAACAACCATAAGTTCGTCAAAATTAATTTACAAACCCTCACAAAAAATACGGTACCTAAGATAAGTCATATCCTTGGACCCAAACATGGCATTGACTAGGCACACTTGGGCTTTCCTACATCAACACACCTCCGAAAACAATATTAGAAGCATCCACGTGCAAATGAAAGGTTAAGTGTAGTCAAGATACGCTAAAACTGGAGGAGTCACTAATAGCTCTTTGAGATCCATGAACACATGCTTATAATTCAGAGACTAGATAAAAGATGACGTTGATGATTTCATGAACGTTTGCAACAGTGTAATGCGATTAGAAAGATCCACAAAACAACCAAGATACTGCACTTGCCCAGGAAGCACTACACATCATTTACACACTTCAGAGAAGGGAATTTTACAACAGCCATAAGTTCATTATGATCAACTTGCAAACCCTCAAGAAAAATATGGTACCCAAGGTAAGTTGTGTTCTTAGACCCAAACACGCACTTTAATTGCTTCAGCTTTAAACCAATGTCCCATAGCCGATCTAACACTTTACAAATATCATGGATGTGCTCCTCCCATGTCCTTTCCGAGTGGATTAAGACATCATCAATAAAGTCAGCAATCATCTATGGCATATCGCAAAGAACTTTATCCATCATCTTGCTAGAGCATTGTTCAAACCAAAAGGCATCACCAAGAATTTATATAAATTAAATAGTGTATGAAAAGCAGTTTTAGGAATATCTTCTTCAGCAATCAATACTTGCCAATACCCAAAAGCAAGATCTAGCTTGGTGAACCAATGACTTCTCCTCAGACAATCAAAAAGATCAACTATATGAGGAAGAGGGTACACATCTAGAATGGTCACTTCATTTAACAAACAATAGTTGATGCAGAAAAGAATATTCCTATCAGATTTTGTCACAAGATGAGGTTCATATGCCTAAGGACTTCACGACTTCTAAATAACACCCTTCTTCAACATTTCCTTGACGTTTGCATGTAAAATCTTAATCTCTTTGAGTGACCGACAATGAATAGGAACCTTGATTGGATGAGCATCCCCAGTTGAAATCGAATGACATGTGGCAATCTTGGCCCCAAACAATAGGTTAAATTCAAAGAGATCGGAATACTCCTTCATGAGCCAATCAACTGCTGCAACACAAAGACTATTGGAGGGATCGATAAAGGGAAGAGCGGAATAAGACGAAGGAAGTAGTGGGGGGACAAAAATAATGGAAAAAGAAGGATGAAGAGGTATAGAAGTGAGAGGAATGGATGATATATAAGTATAAGACAAGGGGGAGAAGTCTCAAAGTCACACTTGGCATGATTGTGCTGCAACCAATCCATACCAAGGATGAAATCAAAAACTTGACTCGACACCATTCACAATGATTGCAACCCAAGGTCGAGATCACCCATAGGCACAACCAAGTCTGCCTCATCCCATGCACATGCATGTGTATGCCCATTACCATAAAAAATGAAAATTGGCTTTGCCACATGACGCAAATGTAGATGGCAACGTATGGCAATAAATCGAGCAATAGAAGATAAATTTGACCTGTATCAACCAACATGGAGAGAATAATAAAAGACTTTTTGTTATAAAAACGAGATTGGAAAGTAAACACTCACATTCACGAACCGGTGTCAAGTGAACCCCTTGGTAATACTCCCGAAAGAAAGATGGAAAGGTCACTAACTTATTCGCGCAAGGTCCCTCCAATACTTGTGTGACTCCTCATTTCTTAGATGCATCTTGGTGTCTATACCTTTCACTATAATAGCACTAATAGAACATTATTGATGCCAAGGTTTTCACCTAGGAAATCGCCAATTTGGAAAATGCCAATAACACCGATAAGTGTGACCAACTTCATCACATGCCTAATAGCAAACATTACAACCACGATCACGTCCTCACCCTTGTCTTTGGACTTGAGTAGCAGTAGCATCAACCTCCATTGGAATAGGACTATCACCCACAAGAAGTGGAACAAAAGGACGTGTAGTAAGAAGTGGAAGAGGCAATGTCTCATAATGTTGTGCCAAGCGAAGCGCATCGTCAAAGGTGGCCAGAGCAAGTGCATGCACAAGTCCGACAAAATCTTAATAAAGTGTTAGGTATAACATTCATAACTTCATATTTGGCTTCGCACAAAGCAAGAGGCTTCGGAAACAGACACTAAATTGCATCATTGACTCAAATGGCCCTTAACAAAGATGATGCAATTGTTGGAAAACATCATCACAATCATCAGCATGTCCAAATATGCATTTGAAGATGTTTAGGAAAACACTCTAATCCCCACGAGTAGTTGCACTCAAACCATTATACCATTGCAGCGCCGTCCCTTAAAGACACATAAAAAACTTATCAAACATTGAGCATCATCCCAAGAATGATATATGGCAATCACCGTAAAGTGATTGAACCAATGGTACACATCATCCCTAAGATTCCCACGAAAGAACTCCAACTGAACACGAGGATTGGCACCAAGAGCAGGAGGAGTTGTACCACGTGCCGTGAATGCTGCCATCAACTAAGTTTGGTTGTTTAATTGCAATTGCATAACATCAAGCAATTGCACCAACTACTGCTCTAGAGTCAAAAGAGGAGATTATTGCTCTGCTATGAAGACAAATAAAAAGAACAAAGCAAAAAAAGAAAAATGAAAAAAAAAACTAGAAGGAAAGGGAGATCTAAATAATGGAAAAGCTAGATATAAACTAAAATCCTAAAAGGAAAGAACAAAAAAAAGAAAATGAAAAAAGTTAGATTTAAATGGTGTAAAGGTTAAATTTAAATCAAAAATCTTAAATCCAAGCACTCCTCAGGGACAATGAAAGATGCCCCTCGTCTCCACAAATGTGAGTACATAGAATATGGAAAGGGAATATAGAAAATGTGCATATCAATTAGTCTAAAAATCCTAACTTATATACAAGAGCAAATGGTCTAGATTAAAACCAATCTAATAGCTACCAAAATCCCACTACACTAAGATTAGTATACCACATCGTAGCCATACACTTGGACCTCACAGCTGATATTATTAGTCATTTAATACCTACCAAAGTGACAATTTCAAAACATAAAGCTATGTGTAAATTAAAAGAGAGAAACTCATAAAACATAGCAAATATGGATGTTATATGAATGGCAAAGTAAACACAAATGCAATAGTTGCAGATCCAGATATGTTAAAACTATATAGTTTTTATTATATTTTATATTTTTGGTTCTTAGGAAATATATTACATTAAAATATATTTCACCACAACTTATCATGTCTAGCCTGGGGGGTATATTAGACCCTTCATACAGACGCTCGATTTTTTTGTGTCATTATGATATTGTTCCCACTGTCCATGCATTTCCCATTGAGCTTGTGGAGCCCGATTATTTCACATTGTGCTGAGACTTATAATGCTGATAACAAATAACATGAAAATCCCTGAAGCCCTGGAAACATAAGGAGATATTTGGTAAATGGTGATTAAAAATATGTGACCAGGTTAAGTCGGCCATTAGCTGCTATAGAACTATAGAGCAAACGAACTCTTGGTGAGCAAGGACATTATTCTGAAATTCCACCAGACTTCTTTCTACTTAAACTGTGACCCACATTCTTTCTTGTGAATTTATATCAATAGTGATTGGTCAATCTATCCATTCTTCTTCTACTCAAATTCTACTTCCATCACCAGACGGTGTCATGTTGGTCTTATTAAAGAGGAAAACAAAAAAGGCTTGGAGTTATGGTTTTTAGAGCCATTCACAATTCCTCAGGTTTATGTTGAGCTGAAGGGACAAGAAGCTATTAAGCCCATATTGAAACTAATATAATTCCTGTTCTCACAGGCACTCTGATAGTTAGATAATCTCTCCTTCTTGCCCTGTTAACAATTCAGAGAGGGATTGGCAGTCGTCCAAGATGAGAGTCTTGACACCCATCTCCTGTTACGCACAGTCCCTATGAGACCACCAAACGCCCCAGACCTCCTGCCGGATCTCTAACCTGGTCGAGCAGCCAGACGAAATTGGAAACACCGAAGAGCTCCTGTGCGCTGTCTTTTGGAAAGCATAGAGCCACGCAAACACCATCGTTGCAACCCAGTCGACCACGGCCGATGCCTTTTCTTCAAATCTTCGTCTTCAAACGACGACGATCAGGCTGGCCACCTGCATCTCCTCTTGGACAAGCTCCACAGGTCCCCGCTCCAATCTCAAATCTCACCAAGAAAGTGCGCAAAGGATGTCTTTCATCTGCTTCGTCCTCTTGGATCCAACCGGAGCAGAAAAACGAGAGCCCTCTACGAGCTCGCAGCATCACCATCGCAAAGATCTTGGATTTGCATCTGGCGAAGAGCTGCCCTGGTCGCAGTGAGTTTGTTGCGAGCATGTGGAGGAAGGGGTGGGCGGGGATGGTTTAGTAGAAGCTCTGTGCCACTTGGTTGGCGAACCAAAGAATTTAATCATCATTGTTTGATGAAGCAATGCATGGTGGTAATTAGAATAATTATAAGGTTTAAGTCATGCCATAAAATTAAATTAAAATGTCGTAGATGATCTTTGATGAGAAGCTATAGATTCTCTTTTAGAGTGGGGAAAGAACAAACAACCAAATTCTCCGCGTTGGGCACAAAGTTTGCTGATACCTGACACACGACACATGATGAGGGTCCCTCAAGAAAACGATGCGATGATCTCCAACTCAAAGTGGAGAAACAAAAAAACCACCAAAGAATTATGAAGATCCACAGTCCCGATTTGCGAGAGAGAGAGAGAGAGAGAGGAGGGGAGTGAAAGAGAGAGGTGAGCTATCACACACTCTCACCTAGTGACTGTCCCCAACAGCAGCATTGAATCGCGCTTAACGACTTATCGACGATCAAAAGTTTGGTGTACTGCATGGACCCAGCACCTTAAAAACACACTGCATAAGTATTCCACCCGAATTTCCCACTTTGTCAAGCCTTAACACTTACCTCTCTGCGCGAGAGCTCCTCGAACAAGGAGGTCCTCTTTCTTTCCTCTTCTTCTTTTCTTTTTTTTCTCTTCTGGAATTCTCGTCCACTTCATTCCTCTGCAAAGCCTGGCTCCGACTCTGATCGATTCTCTTCACCCCCTCGCTCCCATTTGCCACAGAGAATCGGAAGTTAATACAAGCACTTCTTTCCTCGATTGCAGTTCTTGCTGAAACTTCGCGTACCTTGTACTGACTCTGCTTGTTCTGTTTCTTGCTTTTTCTCCTCTCCGGGAAGAGATAAGAATTCGCCACTCCACACCAATCGTCATGGATCACAGCCTAACTGCATTGTCGTCTCGATGGAGGTGGAGCACTTTCCTGTTCTCGGCGATGATCCTGGCGGAGTTCTTCCCCCTGTCCCAGCAACTTTCGTACGATTACTACGACAACGTCTGTCCCCAGGCCGAAAGAACTGTGAGAGCTTCGATTTCCAGCAACCTTGCGGGTGATCCCACCGCCGCAGCGGCGCTTCTCAGGCTTGCCTTCCACGACTGCCAAGTTGGAGTAAGTTCTTCGCACTGTTCTTTCCTTTCAGTCAGCTGAATTTCTGTTTCTTTCGTTGTCACCACCACCACCGGGAAAATCAAAACTCGTTTCTCTGTTCTCCGGCCCAGGGATGCGACGCTTCCATCATGCTGAATTCGCAAGGTGGCATCACCAGCGAGATGGTTGCCTCCAAGAACTTTGGAATCCGGCGTCTCAACCTCATTGACAACGCGAAAGCGGCTGTGGACTCGCAATGCGGGCCTGGCAGAGTTTCTTGTGCTGACATTATCGCCATGGCTGGAAGGGACGCCGTTGTCTTCGCAGGAGGCCCCGACTTTCGAATTCCCATGGGAAGGCTCGACAGCACGTTTGCTAGCAATGCCGCCGCCGATTCCAGCCTTCCACCGACGACCATCAGCGTTGATAATTTCCTCAACCTCTTTGGATCCATGGGCATGTCCACAGAAGAAAGCGTTGCAATTATGGGTAAGTTCTTCCAGTGTTCCTTAGAATTCCCTCTTCCAAAATTCTCATCTCCGTAAGTTCGTTGTCTCATCGGCTCTTAGAGTGGTTCTTTAAGTTCATCGTTCCAAAAGTTTTCATATCGGTAAGTTTCCGCCAGAGTCCAAGTTTCAAAGTTCTCTGTTCGTCCGTTTCCGAGAGTCTCGATAAAGTTTCCCCGCGAGTGCACGTTTCTTAGTTTCAAGTTTCTCACGGATAAAAAACCTCGTTTCTTACCAACCAGGTGGCGGTCATACTCTCGGCGTCGGGCACTGCGTGAACATCGTCAACCGGCTCTATCCCAATGCGGAGTCGACCTTGAGCTTCGTATACGCGACTAGATTGCGAGTGAGCTGCCCGTCCTCAGATCCCAGATTCATCATCAATGCCACTACTGTCCAGAACGATTTCAGCAGCCTTCAGTTCGACAATCAGTACTTTCGAGAGGCGACAATGGGTCTCGGACTCTTCACCATTGATGCAGCGCTGGCCAGTGACGCGAGAACTTCTCCGATAGTGGCCAGGTTCTCTCAGAACCAGAACTCTTTCTTCAATGCCTTCGCAAGTGCTTACGCGAAGCTCACTTCTTTCAACGTACTGACTGGAAATCGAGGTGAAGTGAGAAACAACTGCAGATTTGTGAACTAAAGTTCAAGAAAGAAGAAAAAATGGAAGTTTCGCTACCTTCTAGAACGGACAGCGTGTTCTCCACCAGCTAGCTAGGCTAGTCAGTCCAAGATCTTTACGAACTGGTACGAGATAAAGTCGGGAAAAAAAAGGAACACATGAAAAATAAAATAAAAAAGAAGGTTCCTTTCTTGTACCTTGAGACGTAGCTTTACACAGTGTGTTCTCCACTGGGCAGTCAAATAAAAACACCATCTTTACGAATTATATGCTCCTTGTCTGGACTTGCATCGCAAGGATATCTTGCACAGCACGCGTCAGTCCCACACTGAAAAGATTGATTCCTAGTAAAATGTCATACCTTATACGTGAGTGGAAGGACTTCCAGCTAAGTCGCCCAAGAGCAGCAATCATGCTGAAAAGTTTTGCTGTTCCTGTAACATTCACCGTTAGAGAATCACTTGCTGGAAAACAACCTTTTGACATACCAAAAACTTTGTCTCGATGCCATTCATGCGCACAAACTTCCCGTTGACATGGTCTGCTCGTCCGCTCCAGTTGTTATGAGCCACTCTCGTTGTAAATGTTCGCCATCAACACGTAAGCTGAAGAGTCCCCACAATCAGTCTCCAACACCGACTCAAACGCAAGCTTTCCAGTCACCTCGTGCCTCCATTTCCGACAGGCACTTAAAACAGTCCTCCAAGTCACTGCATTCGCCTTGAAAGGCATCGACTTTACGAGCTGGACAGCCTCCTCCACGCGGTTGGCTCTGCCGAGAACGTCCACCATGCAGTGATAGTGAGACATCCCTGGCTCAATGCCGTGCTTGAGTTGCATTGTCTCGAAGTATCTCTTGCCGGTCTCGCCTAGACCAGCGTGGCTGCAAGCAGTGAGAACCGAGAGGAACGTCACTGAGTCGGGCTCCAGGCCTTGCTCTTGCATCTCCTCGAACAGCCTCAAAGCGTTCTTGGTGTCACCTTGACGGGCATAGCCTCCAAGCAGCGCGTTCCAGGACACGAGCTTGTCTTTGGCAGCCGAGAGAGCGTCAAAAACGCGTTGAGCATCGTCCATGCTCCCCCACTTTCCGTATACATCCACCAAGGTTGCCTCTAGAACCGCACCATCTTCCAGCCCAGCTCTACACATGTTGCCATGGATGATCTTTCCACTCTCCAAAACTCCAACGCACTTGAGAAGAGCGATGAAAGTTTGAGCGTCCTGTTCTGGTGGCCTAGACTGGGAGTAGAGCTCCATAGCAAGGTCACCGTCACCACTTTCAGCGTATCCCAGCATGAGTGCGGTCCAAGAAAACGTATCATGCACAGGTACCCTGTCAAAAACTTCGCGAGAGTCGTCCATGCTGCCACACTTTGCCAACATATCCACCAGAGAGCTTGCAACGTAAGCTTTCAGCCCGATCCCAAAGCTCCGAGCCTGTGAGTGTAGCATCCTGGCTTTTCTCAAGGATTCCACCTTAACGACCTTTCCAGCGAGTTCCTGTCCAGTTTCCTTGGCGGCGAGACAGCTGCAAGCCTTGAACGCAGCGCAAAAAGTTCTAAAGTCGGGCTTGCAGCACCAGCCGGCACCGAGCATTGCTTGGAATAGCTGCAACGTGAGAGACTCTTCTCCGTTCTCGGCATAGCCAAGCAACAAGACGTTCCATGAAACAACGTCTTGCGAAACCACCCTGTCAAATACTCTTCGTGCATCCACCAGGCTCCCACACTTCGTGTACATGTCGATGAGCGCGTTGGTTGTGTAGCTCAGCGAGTCACAGCAGCTGCTCTTGGAGATGATTTTTGAGTGAATATCAAAGCCTTTGACCAGTGAGTTGAGCTTAACGATCTTTCCGCAGATCTTCTGACCGGTTTCCTTGATGGCGAGACTGCTACAGGCTTTGAGAGCCGTCACAAAAGTGAGATCATTCGGCAAACACTCTCGTTTCTTCTCCATAAGATCGATAAGCTCCAGCGCTAGCTCGTCCTCTCCATTCTCCACATACCCCAGTATCATCGAGTTCCACGACGTAACGTCTCGGTCGTTCGTCCTGTCGAAAACTCTCCGTGCCTCGAGCATGCTTCCACAAACTGTGTACATCTCCAAGAGAGTGTTGGCCACGAAGATATCCACCTCGCAGCCACGGCCAGCAGCTTCGGCGTGGAGTGAAGCACCTCTCTGTAACGTCTTGATCTTGACAAACTTCCCTTCGAGACCCTGCCGTGGTTCCTCTATAGCTGCCAAGCTGGTGCATGCCTTCAAAGCAGCGACGAAGCTTCGGCTGTTTGGAGCACAGGACGAGGCTTTCATGTGCTCAAACAGCTCCAAAGCCAGCCCTCCTTCACGGTTTTCCACACAGGCCATGATCAAAGCAGTCCACGAGACCACATCATGCCGAGAGATCTCAATCCTGTCAAAAACCCTTCGTGCGTCGAGCAGGCTTCCATACTTCCCATACATGTCGATGAGAGCACTGGCCACGAAGATGTCCGAGGAGTCGAGTCCGAGAGCCTGGGAATGCAAGGCCATCCCTCTTTCCAAGCACCGTATTCTATTGCCACCAAGATCATCACCTTCTTCTGTCGTTGCAAAACTTCCGCAAGCCTTGAGCGCTGCTACGAAAGTTCTAGCATCTGGATCACATCCCTCTCGTTTCATGTACGGGAGAAGCTCCAGAGCTAGCTCGCTTTCTCCATTCTCAACATATCCCATCACCAAAGCGTTCCACAGCACCGTGTTGTGGAAAGGAGCTCTCTCAAAAACCCTGCGAGCATCCACCAAGCTTCCACACTTCACGTACATGTCGACTAAGGTGGCAGCCACGAAAATATCCGACTCGAATCCACTCTCGCGAGCCTGGGAATGAAGACCCATTCCAATCTCCAACGATCTCAAGCTAACCATCTGTCCTTTGTCTCGATCATATCCCCCCCTGGCCGAGCAGGCTTTGATCCCAGCCACAAAGCTTCTTCCATTTGGTCGGATTCCATCTTCCCGCATTCCTCCCAGCAAACCCAGGCAGGCTTCCCCATCCCCAATCTCGGCATAGCCCAGCATCAAGCAATTCCACGACACCACATCGCGATTCTTCTTCCCCATGCCGTGGAAGACCTGGATCGCATCATCCAGGCTGCCGCATTTCCCATACATACTCACCAGGCTGTTGAGCACGACGCGGTCGGAGCCATGGCCGTTGCGAATCACCTCTTGGTGGATGCGCCGCCCTCGCTCCAGATCTCTGGCGCCGCCGCATTCCTTGATCCAGGCGATTAGCCGGGACTGCGGTGCTGGCGCCGCTGCTGCTAGCGCATCCGAGAATATCGCAGCCGCAGCGCTGATCTTGCAAAACCCTCTCCCCCATTGCGCTTGGAACATCCACAAGCATGGCTGCCTCGACCTAGAAACCCATAAGCCCTAGAATCCAAAAAATTGGCGCGTTTATTTGATTTAGAAGCTCGAGCTCCATAGCTGGAGTAAAAAACGAATGGATAGAAGCTGGAGCTCCATAGCTGAAGTAGTGGATAGAAGCTGGAGCTCTAGAAGCTTGAGCTCCATATGGAAAAATCGATTGGATAGAAGCTCGAGCTCCATAGCTGAAGCGAAACGTTTTTTTACACAGCGAAGCTTTGAACAACAGTTTCTACAGTTGAAAGAGATCTTTCTCACTGGCAATGCAAACATCTCCAGCAGCGACTTTCACCCACGTCTCCGTGACCCTTTTAACTTCGTGATCTCGCAGCTCTACCATGGTAAACTGTCGATTCAATCCTTCTCGCCTGGGAACCACGGCACCATTCACAAAAACCTTGCGATTGAGCGCCGCGACCATCTTGCGCCCCTCGTTTCTGTGCATATGACCAAACACCACCAAAGGTATCTCGCACTCTTCTTCGCAAAGTTTTATAGCCTCGGCCAAGTCTGTCGAGGAAAAAGAAATGAAAAAACTGGTATCTTTAGCGAGAAGTTCTGTACTTACCAGGATCCCCATTGTCTCCACCGCGTCCACTAAAATCTTTACCACAAATATCATGACTTTCTGAGCCCAATCCTGTAAGTCTTGTGTAAGAAGAGGCATGGAAACAAGCATTTAATACCAGTCGGTCCATTGTGTGCGAGTATCACTACACTGTGATCTTTGGGAGCATCGAGGATGAGCTCTTTGATCTTCTCGGCACTACCTTTCAGATCCGAAATGCCAAATCTACACGAGAAGTCTTCAAAGGATGAAAAGGAAGAAAAAGTTCTTACAACGGAGAAAGGAGAGTTTTGCCGTAAACTCCATCACCTCCCATTGCAAATGGCCTCGCTCCAACGACACTAAGTTTTAAGTGACGATAATCCACACGCTTGAATCCTACAAACGAGTCTCCAAGCCTGATAAGAAATCGAGAATTATTTCTCTAGACATCCACAAAAAGAGGAACTTACATCTGGATTTGCTGCTCTACAGCAGGCTTGGATGGTCTCTTGAAAAAAGAAACGAGATATCCAACTAGACGCTCCAGATAGCTGGTTGTAAGCTTCTCGTAGAGCAAGTCGATATTACCGCTAGAAAAGAGAGATGAAACGAAGAGAAAAAAAAAACAAGGAGAATCAATGAACAAACCCGAGAGCACTCCGGCAGCAGTCATGGTTTCCAAGGATCACGGCCTTGCTCATGTCAAGCTTGGCCACTTCTCTCACGATTTGCACGTCCTCGTCGCCAAAATCCCCCGTGAATAAGACGATATCCGGCTGATTGAAAGAGATCCGACTGAGTGATTTTAGTGCCATCTTTTGATTCAAATCTAACGAATTGGCTTGGAGGACTGGACTGTCCTCATCGAAATGGATGAAAGGAATGGTGGCGGCCAGGATTTGGGATATGTGTTCTTCCCTCTTTCAGGACATCGTCTATCTTCGTTAACTTACATTGAGGTGTTGCAAGGCTCTCCTGTCAGCTGTGGCATCCCAATCGCCATGCTGCCATTCAAAACGAAGAGTCTAGAGCAAATCAATGAAGAATCAATGATTTACCACATCGCCCACAACAGCGATTCGCACAAGATCCGCCATTTTTCTGTCAACCCTAAAGGGTGACTTGGCATGTTCTATATATATATATACCTTTGATTATACATGTGTGTTTTCCAAGAAAATCTCGGCGCAAGCTGCCACCTTTCTCCGACTTCTCCGAAGTGATTGGCTCCACTGTCATCGAGCTCTTCCTTGTCCTCGGCAAAAAAAGTTGTCCAAGCGATGACCATCTGGCAGTGTCCAGCGGAAACAGCTGAAAACAAGCGATGTATCGCCCACTTTATCTCGGAAAAAACCGCCAGTCACAAACAGGGACTGCTGCTCGTCAATTACCCGCGATTAATTAGTCCTCTAGACCCTGTAGAAGATTCGTCGCATTCTGGATGAAATGTCGCTTGAACGATGCACTTATAGGAAGGGGACTTGTAGTTTGATGATCAAGTCACTTGCCAAATCAAGTTTCTTCAAGTGTTAGAACAGTAAAATCCACAAGACACGAGCAAATGTAGAAGCTGTACTATCTTAGAGACTTACCATTTCGAGCATTCTTGTTCTCAGCCAATAGTTTTTCCAGGCATGCAGCTCTGGATAATCTCGTTTCTCGTCGCTATAAAACCCGAGACCATCAGAAACCAAAGGCAGTGTCTTAAGCTTTGCCTCCCCAAAGCATTCTCGATTCAATCATGGAGTCGTCTTCTGGATTCAATTGGTGGATCCTCACTCTGCCTTTCTTCCCCCGGCATTTAGCCACCGATCATGCATGGAGATCTGTCTTCTCTGCTGCTGCACTGCTCATTCTAGCTGCCATCTCAGCGATCCTGGCTCCTTGGCTTGTTCGCGGTGGCAATGCATGGGGGAAAGCGCTGAGGAAGAAGCAGAGCATCCCGGGACCCCGAGGATGGCCAGTGCTTGGAGTCTTGACGGAAATGGGAGGCCAAGCTCACCGAAAGTTGGCCGCGCTTGCCGAGAGGTACCATGCAAAGGAGCTCATGGCATTCAGCCTGGGGAACACGAGGATGATCATAACCAGCAAGCCGGAAGTGGCACGTGAGTTGCTCAATAGCTCTGAGTTCGCGGACAGGCCCCTCAAGCAGTCGGCTCAGCAGCTCCTGTTTGGACGAGCAATCGGCTTCGCTCCCTACGGAGATTACTGGCGTAACTTGCGAAGAATTGCCTCCAACTATCTGTTCTCGCCACGCCAGATTGCTGCTCACGAGCCATCGCGTCAGGCAGAGACAACCAGGATGATCGAAGCGATGAGTACCTTTGCAGCGGAAAACGATGGCCTTGTCCGAGTCCGGGACTTTCTCCAGCGAGCTTCGCTTAACAACATCATGCAGACAGTGTTCGGCAGGAGATTCGAGGATGGCTCTGAGGATGCCGCTCAGCTCTCTGAGATGGTGAGGGAAGGATTCGAGCTGCTCGGTGCATTCAACTGGGCTGATCACTTGCCAGTTCTGAAGGCAGTCGACCCCCAGAATATCCTCCAGCGCTGTGCCGTTTTGGTTCCCCGAGTGACGAGCTTTGTCCAGAGGATCATCGACGAGCATCGCCAGTCGGTCGATAAGAAAGTTGGCGAAGCCGACTTTGTGGATGTGCTGCTCTCCTTGGATGGCGAGGACAAGCTTATAGATGCGGACATGATCGCAGTTCTCTGGGTAAGAAAATGAACTCTGCCTCTGATTTTTGTTACGACTTACGTGGTGCTTTCCAGGAAATGATTTTTCGAGGCACTGACACGGTTGCACTTGCAGAGCTTGTCCTCCATCCTGAAATCCAGAGCAAGTTACGACATGAGATCACTAGCATGGTTGGAGGAAAATCCAAACTTGCTGAGCCTCATCTCCACAAGATGGTGTACCTCCAGGCCGTCGTGAAGGAGACCCTTCGGATGCATCCTCCGGGTCCCTTGCTCTCCTGGGCTCGGTTGGCGATCCACGACGTAAGCTTAGCTGGCCACCACGTCCCCGCAGGCACCACGGCCATGGTAAACATGTGGTCCATCACTCATGATCCTTCCATCTGGTCCGAGCCTGAGAAATTCAACCCGGAGAGATTCCTTGAGCAGGACATCGACGTGAAAGGAACCGACTTACGTCTCGCTCCATTTGGAGCTGGTCGTCGAGTGTGTCCCGGACGAGCTCTTGGCCTTGCGACTGTTCTCCTCTGGACTGCTCGTTTGGTGCAACAGTTCGAGTTCCAGGCAGACCCGACTCATCCCGTGGATCTCACCGAAGTTCTCAAACTTTCAAGTGAGATGGTCGCACCATTGGTGGTAAAGGTGCTATAGCTGTTTGTACTTCAAACAATTCAGTAAATAAAACTAAAGACAGGAAATGTACCTGAAAGCAGTCGCCTATCGAGCGATATCACATAAGGTCTCTCGATCTTGGCTCAGATCTTTGCTGCACTCTCGACATGCCCTCGCTGGGCATCCGCCACAAGTATGATATTCTAAGAAACGGTGTCGAGGTCAGGCATCTGTTCGAAACAGTGCCTGGCTTGGACGAGATCGTTGCTTTGAAAAAGTGCCTGGATTATCGACACCACATTTCGATGTGGCATTCGATGAAAGGCCTCCGCTGTCCCGCGACAGTGCCCTCCTTGGGCATTTGCCGTGACCATAACATTCCAGGAGGAAAGATTTCGCTGCGAGAGGCGCTCGACAGCGAGTCGAGCTTGAACGAGGCAGCCACTTCATACATGGCGACGAGGATATTCCCAATAAGACTATCGCGATCGCAGTCTTAAGCTGGGAGTGGTGCCATCAGGCCCTGCTAGCAGCATACTTAAGAACTGGTATCATCTAGATTGCCTCTAACGCTTGAACTGGTAATGTGAAGTATGGTTTTGTTTCAATTGAATAAAACAGTAAATGTGTATATTGTTCCAATGAAACATAGTGACACGATCGACATTTGCTTTGACTTTCTCAAGTTCTTTTGTAGGCCTGCAAACACAAGAACTACTAAATACCAAGGCTGGGTCAACTTTTTCAAGCAGACTTTTCCTGCATCTTGGTAAAATTGCGTCCCCAGAGCTCAACTTAAGAATAGTCACCTGATTGCCACCCAAGCCTTCGCATCTTAGAATAGCCATTGGTTTATCAAGCAAGATGCCAGTGATCAGCGATTTCTGATCTATGCACAGACATCAGAACACAGGAAAATGATTTTCTCGAGCTCATCACAACAATGTAGAGATTTAATATTAATATTAAGCTTATAGTTACTTATTATGGTCATTCCTTTCCTTGACTGGCCTCTCCCTGGGAGCCGCCCACTCGACATGGAGTATAAGACTATCGTAGCCATAGCCATCGAGCTTCTTCATGGCGCGCTCGGCATCCTCCCTCCTCACAAAAGTTATGAAAGCAAAGCCACGCCCCAGGCCCGTCTCCCTATCCGACGCCACAAAGATCCGCGAGATACTCCCAAATCGCCCAAACAGCTCCTGCAAGTCGGCCTCCCTCGTGTCCTCGGACAAGTTGGTCACTCTTAGCGAATTGCCATCGTCTCTATAGCGCATCGTCTCTTTCGATCCCGCTCCTCCTCCGGGACGCCGGTTGGGAGCAACGTACTTCCCAGTGCTTTGCTTCGAAGTCACGTCGCCACGATCGCCGTGATCTTCGGCGGGCTTGATCACCGCATCATCGTCCTTGAGCAGCAAATCCTTGAAAGGGCACCTCGACGTCCAGTGATCGCCCTTTTTCCCACAGGCCCGGCAAACGATCAAGGACGTGTTACCGGAGCTGGGCAGCCCCAGATCGACGTTATCGCTGCGGGTGTTCCTCGAGCCGGGCTTCTCGAGCCGGATCTCGTCCACGGAGACGAGCGTCACGCCCTCGGTTGCGTTTGCGACGTCGCCGAATCTCTTGAGCTGCTTGCGGTGAAGAACCGCGGGGCTCATCTTCTTCGTCTTCTTCGTCACTCTCACTGTCTCGATTACCTTGATCAGCTTGCCAGTGTCTTCATTCCTGCGCCACGAGGTGATGATCTTGATCCCCTTCTCGTCTGGCCCGACGACCTTTCTTGGTGGCAACACATCGACCTCTTCGTCCTCCACATCACCCCACCGGAAACTCGAGCTCATCATCGTCTTTCTAGGTCTACGCGAAGTTTCAACTTATAAGCTGTAGAACGAAAAGGCATAGGCTATAGAAAAAGGTGACGAAAAGGCTTATATATGATCTCAGGGATGGTTTCTCAACAGTGTCGCAAACGCTGAGGATGGATTGCTCGAAAGCACAGGTGGTGCATCGAATTCCACAAGCTTGCCTTCAAATCCACAAAGACAATTGAGTTGAGAGTAAAAAAGAGAGGATCAATCGCGGATTTACCATTTTGCAACACGGCAACTAGATCAGTGTTGGAAAGGATTGTTGCCAAGCGGTGTGCTATCGTCACCACAGTGCACTCCTGGAAGTTTTCAGCTATACGAGTTTGTATGATTCTCTCGGTGGCACTGTCGATCGATGCCGTCGCTTCATCCAACACAACGATCCTTGATTGCTTCAGCAACACTCTGCCAAGGCACAAGAGTTGCCTTTGTCCCATGCTCCAGTTCTCGCCATCTCCCGAAACTTCAAAAGAACATCACAAACGACAGATCCATCCTAGATCAAATGACAAAACTTCGTTACCGAGTGAATCGAGACCAGCTCCCTTGGAAGCCACAGCAGTCATGAGCTCACATTTCCTCAAAACCTGTGTGAAGAACGCAAGTTATTCACACATTACAAGAGCCATGGTTCATATGCATACATTATACCTCCCATATTCGATCGTCCGAGAACGTACTCAGTGGATCCAAGTTGTAACGTATGCTTCCTTCGAAGAGAACGGGGTCCTGCGGGATTATACTCAGCTTGGAACGCAAGAGATGCACGTCCACTGCAGAGATATCGAGACTATCGATGAGAATTTGGCCAGAAGTGAGCTCCACTGTGCGGAAAATTGCCTGCACGAGTGTCGACTTTCCACTGCCAGTACGTCCCAAGACGCCCACTTTCTTCCCGGCTGGGAACTTGCATGAGATCCCGCAAAGTGCCATCGGTGCGCTTGGTTTGTACCGAACCTGCGAACAAAAACAAAAAGCTTTAGAACATGCCTCCGACGTTCAAACTTTAAGGAAAGAGCTGTGATAGAAACCTTGACTTCTTTGAGTTCCAGAGTGCCTAGTTGCGGCCAATCCTCAGCAGGCTGAACATGCTTCCCTCTCCGTGGAGATTGATAATGGAGTTGTGTATACTGGAGTAGACGCTCGGCCGAGATTATTCTCTTTTCGGTGTCAACTCTACTCCACAGTGTCCATGTCAACACTGTTGTCAAGCTCAAGGCGTACGTAACAGCAACTCCTGCCGAACCTGGCATTTGGAACCGTGAGCTTTCATCCATCCTAAGAGAGAGTTTTGCAAAAGGAAACAACGTACCTGGACTTTTGGGGAAAGCAACGAGCAGGAGCATCAAAGCGCAGAAGAAAACGTCGGCAAGGACGCCGATCCTGAGAGCCAGAAACTCCATGGATGCAAAGTTGTGGAACTGTGGACGGTTGTTTACGTCGACGAGGTGGAACAATCTCCCGAGAAACTGTGGCTCCCGGTGGAATGCTCGTATCGTGGCGAGGCCGCTCAGGGACTCTTCAAAGTGGTGAACGATGGGAGCGCGCTGGATCTCCATTAGTCTTGGGAGCTCGCGAATTGTCTTGATGTAATGTCTCTGCGTGGAAAGAGTTTAGAAAGGAAATAATATTGTAGTCAAGAGCAAATACCTGGAGGTAGTAAGCCACAGAAGCTAGAAACGCGAAGACCGGGAGGACATGCCACGAAACAAATGAAACGATGACAATTATTGTAACGAGCTCGGTCATGTAGCCGGCTAGCTCGGACAATCTCAGCGGCACAGAGATATCTACCGAGGTTTGGTCTGTAGAAGCCTGCAAGCACACACCATCGAGCAAGAAAAAGATTAGCGAGAGAGCTGAAAGACATGCTTACACGATTTAAGATACATCCGATCGGAGTAGTGTCGAAGAACGACATAGGAGCGAGGAACACCGAGCGGTACATGCCGAGAAAGAATTTCTGTGAAGTTTTCAATCCCACCACGGCGACAAGCAAGACTCGGCAGAGTGAAGCCAGCGAGCTTCCCAAAGAGAGCAAACCGAAAACCATGACAAGCTTTGCCTCGGAAGTTCTCGGCCTCGCAACTTCCCATGTCGCGGCTGCTTGCGAGCCTTGATAAATAGCCAGTGACACTAAGATCACTGGAATGAGACCTCCTCGATAGACTGATGTTAGATAGGCCCAGTAGACGCCCCCGCTCACACTTCCACACTCCCTTTGCTCGGCTGCCTCTGGCTCTTCCAACTTTTGCTGGATCTCGGCTGGATCTTCCTTTCGATCCTGATTGGAAGACTCATCCATTGTTGCACTCTCTGCTGCCGCTCGGCTTTGCTCTGCGCAGTCCACTGATAAGCTCCCGTTCGCCATTACCTGCATGGTCCACGACAAGATCGAAACAAGTTCTACCTGAAAATTTCTGACAGACTTACGATCACTTTGTCGGCCATTTGGATGGACTGAAGATGATGCGTCACAAGTAGAACGGTCTTCGTGCACAGAATCCCTTGGATACATTCCTGCAAAGTGCTTAAACTCGTGAACAAAAGAGACAGGGAGTTCGCACTTACCTTGAGAATGTCCCTGGATGTTTGAGTGTCGAGAGCACTGAGAGGATCATCCAGGAGATAGATATCAGCATCCTTGTACATGGCTCTTGCGAGCTGGAGTCTTTGCTTTTGTCCCCCACTCAGTGTCACACCTCGATCGCCAATGCGTGTCTCGTCGCCATGGGTTAGCATCTCCAAGTCTCTCTTGAGCTGGCAAGAAGAGATGATCTTGTCATACTTTTCCTTGTTCATCTCGCTCCCGAACAAGATGTTCTCCTTCACGGTAGCATGCTGTATCCATGCCGACTGAGAAACGTAAGCAGTTGTGCCTCTCACAATCACCTGAAAGAATTATTTATTTTGTGACAGAGCCTGTTAAGTAAGGATATCAAATCGTATACCTCTCCACAAAGCTTTGGCATCTGTCCCAGGATACACGAAAGGAGGCTCGACTTGGCAGAACCAACGGCTCCAGTGATCGCCACGAAACATCTCTTGGGAACCTCCAAGTTTATGTCTTTCAAAGTTGGATGCTCTGGATCCCTGTCCCAGCTGAAACTGGCCGCTCTTACTTCGATCGCAGCAGCAGCAGCAGCACCACCACAACCTGTAAACTCTGGCCTCGATTCCACTTCGCTGGCCTCGAAAAACTTGGACAACCGCTGCATGGAGACACGAACTCCCACCAGAGAGCTAATGAAATCCGGGATCCCGTCCTGCATGCTTTGCAGCATCCGAAACACTGCGACTGCCGAAAGGATCTTCCCCGGCTGGAGCTTTGCCATCAACGCGACAGCAACCACAGCCATGGCCGACGGAGCAGTGGCAAAAACGTACTTTGACAGTGCTTGGACGTAAGAGTATCTGGAGAGATGGGCGTACTCAGCAGCTCGGAGGCGCTCGATCTTGCGCAAGAAACTCTCCTCCCATCCATGAAGCTTGAGAGTTCTCATGCTTCGCAGAGACTCGGCAGTAGCTCTCATCCGGCAGTCCCGCTCTCGCATCATCTTGCCTTGCGACTTCTCTTGAATACTTGCGAGTGGAACGTTGCAGAGTGTGCAAGCGATCAGCGCTCCAACGCTTGCAAAGCTCGCAAGCCCGACGTCTCTGTAGAGGATGATCAAACCGAGCAGTGCTTCGAGTGGTAGCGTCCAAACGCTGTGGATCTCCCAGCAAAACCACCCGACTTGCCGGACATCCGAGGTGACCAAGTTCACCACCTCGCCAGTCGAAACCCTCGAGCTCTTGAGCGCCTTGTGGAAGACATGGCACGCCAGGGAGGATTCGACGTGCAGTCCCAGCAGGCACAGCATGAAATGCCGCTGCCTCTCGAGCAAGTTGGCGCTGATCTTGGCGAGAAGAAACCCCGACGCCAGCGCGAATCCCTTGCCTGCGGAAGTGCCGTAAGACGCGACGAAGTCCGCCACCAGGAAAGGGCCCGCGTAGGAAGCCAAGACGTGCAAGAGTGAGACGATCCCGCTCGCGATCACTAGTTTGCGATTCGGCCGCCAAATCGCATCCCAGATCGAGCTCCCGCGCAATCTCTGGAAGAGGAATGCCGCGGAATTTCTCTCGCCAAGCCACGGGAGATCTTCGAGCTGGAGAGGCCGCTTGGAACCAGCGGCGAAGAGTGGATCCAGCCAGCGGAAGAACGCAATGCTGATAGCGGAGGCGGTCACGTGAGGCGTGACGATCTTCTCCTCCTCTTTCGCCAGTGAATACGTACCTTCATTCTGGAGGAGAGGCTCTCTCATTGGTTAGAACCCTAAGTACCAAATGTAAGCTTTAAACGTTCTAAAACTTCCCGATAACCCTAAAAGAATGTTTTAAAGAATATACGATGAATGTAAGATACTTTTGGAATATTCTTTTTCCTTGTTTCACAAAATTTGTTTGGGGAGGGAGGAGCGCGGGCGGATGCTCGATCGGCGCGCGATCGTGGCGAGAGAGCCGAGAGCTCGGCACTGCGGCTAGAATGCAGCGCCTGCGGTAGCGAGAAGAGGAGGATCGCGGGGCGGGGCGGCAGCGGCTAGGGTTTGTGGCCAGGATGATAATCCGCACGTACCAGCGGCGGCACAGGGGTAGCGATTCTCTCCGGGGAGATTCTAGCTCGCAGGAATCCTTTTGGAGCAGCTCGCAGGAATCGGCGTGGAGCAGCTCGCAGGAGGCAGGGTTTGTGTCGTCGCAGGATTTGTCCAACTGGTCGTCGCTGGAAATCGAGGAGAATGTGCCCAAGAAGAGGAAGCAGCAGCAGCAGGAGGAGGAGAGCTTCCAGGTGGAGAAATTCGAGGGCAGGGCCACCGGGGCCAAGCAATTGAATCGCTTGCAGAGGCAAGTGGGCCTGAGCTTGAGCCGGCGATGGGGATTCTCTGCTCCTCCAAACTCGACGCTCATGGAGGCCCAGGAATCGGGTGAGATGATGGAACAGGTTGACGAGGTGAATTTTGCCATGGATGGCTTGCGCGAAGGACAGCCTCTCCAAGTCCAGCAGGCCAGCTTGATCTCCATTCTCTCGCTCTGTGCTTCGCTCCAACAAAGGCGCTTTCTTCGATCTCACGGGTGCGCTAAAGTTTTCTTCTTTTCCTCTTCTTCGTGTTGTTTGATCACAAGCACTTTCTTTCTTATCAGGATTGCGAAAACTTTAGTAGATGCTATTGTAGCTTTACCAACAGGCGATCCGGCGTTGTCCTTGGCTGCCTCAGCTGTTTTTTACGTGCTTGCCAGTGATGTAAGCGTTTTCTCTACCCCTCGTACACTCTAAATGATTTTTTTTTTCCTTCGTTTTTGTTGTTTGTCAGGGGCATGATGCGAGTGTGATGGACTCCGACCCGTGTATTCGCTTTCTTCTCAAGCTTGTTACAAGCCAGACTGATACAGTCAGTAGCAGCGATGGGATGAATATTGTGGCTAAAGTTTATGAGAAGTTGCGTGCCACGAAAACTTCAAGTGACGCTGTGACAACGAATCAACTAACTCCGAAGTCACTGGCATTGCGTACGTTAGAGAGAGCGTGCCTTTCTGCTGTCGTTCTAGATGGTACGTGATGGCTTTCATGTTTATTGTGGTTGAGGTTTCTAAAAACTTTTGTAGACAATAGTGGTGCGGTGACAAAGGTTGGAGGACAATTCAAAGAAAGGCTTCGCGAGCTGGGTGGTTTGGACGTTGTCTGTAATGTTGTTGCGACATGTCTTACAAATTTGATGGTCAGTGAGAGTTTCTGTTGGAATTGCTTGCTCTTATTACTTTCGTTTCAGAAGGGAAGGACTCGGAGTGACCATACTGTCAGTTTACTACTAAGATGTTTGAAGGTGATGGAGAACGTTACATTTTTAAGCGAAGAAAATCAGGTGTGCGGATTGTTTTTGTCTGCGTTCATGTTATCTGAGCATTTTTATATCCAGGCTTATCTTTTGAGACTGAAGCACCATCAAAATTCTATTTTTTTGCCAGAGAGCTTCATTGGAATCGTTATAAAAGCAATTGATACTTTGCAAGGTACCAACTTCTTTTCTTCTTTGCATCCAGCACAATTTTTTGTAAGCAGATATCTCGAGTCAAGATAGAACGGCTGGCAAAGAAGTCGACTCTAGTTTGGAAATTTCAAACACGAAAGAGACAATAACCTGCAAAGATGATGCCATTCAAAAACAAAGGCCGGCCTTGAAAGGTGCGTCGTCTCGTTCTTTTGTCTCTGTGATTTATTGTCTTCTGTAGGAAGAGATGCTTCTAAATCTGCAAACCAAAAGGAGCTCAAGCTGAGAAATGCTCTGCAGAAAGCTAAAATTATCAACACGCAACGAAAGGCATCCCTGACGAGTAACTGCCAGAAAATGATTCAAACGAAGGTTTCCGATAACGACAGGCGCTTCAAATTTCCTAGTGATACTTCTATGACGACGGACAACGCGAGTGACGATATCTTCTCACAAGATCCATACGATTTTGATGAGCCAGATTATGACATTAAGTTTCAATTTGGTAAACCGAAGCATCAACACAAGTCCAGAGTAGAACCCCTTCATCCAACTTTTGAGAATCACGAAGCTGGTGGCTCTTCTGCTAGATGCAAGCTAGAAGAAGAATGTTTACTTTCGGCTGTCAAGGTATGCCATCGTTTTTCGTTTTCCTCGGTTAATAATCGCTGAAATATATTCTAGGTTCTGATGAACTTGACGAATGATAATGCTACTGGATGCAAGCAAGTTGGAGCATGCAACGGGATTTTCTCTGTCGCCTCGCTCCTCGTGTCAAACTATCCTCGCGAGTCACAAGAAGAGATGAGCTTGGATCTCCTTGTGACGGTACTTGGCATGCTTGTCAATCTAGTAGAGAAAGACAAGAGTAACAGGTGAGACATTCTTAGCTTTCAGAACTTGTTAACTTCTCGTGTTTGTTATCCAGATCTCAGCTTGCAGCTTTGGACTTGAAACTGCCATCCCACATAGCCTCAGGAAATGGAAGAGGCATTTTAACGTTATTGTGCTCTCTCTTTTTAAGCAAACAAGGTTCCGGGGAAGCTGCTGAAGCGAGAGAAAAATCCATTATCAAGGTACTTGATCTGTTTTCTTTTGTTTCTTCTATAAGTTATTCAATAATTCCAGGTCGAGGATGATGATACTGTACAAAGAGGACAACGAGAAGCCGAGAATATGATTGTGGAGGCTTACACAGCCTTGTTGCTCGCGTTCCTCTCCACTGAAAGGTACTGCTTTCTCATAGATTTAAGCAACTTTAACTTCTGTGGGGGCAGTGACAGAGCACGACAAGCAATCGCCGAGAGATTGCCGGGAGAAGGACTATTATCCTTAGTTCCCGTTTTGGAGAGATTCGTGGTGCGTATGCTCTATAATAACTTCCAAGCTTTCTTTTCGGTCTCTTTAGAGCTCACCACCCTTTGTGATAAAACTTGCAGGCGTTCCATCTGTCGCTAAATATGATCTCTGCCGAGGCTCACGCGGCTGTCCAGGAGGTGATAAATTCGTTAAAACAACCTGCGATTGATTTGTAAATTCTGACCTCAATGGAATAGAAAATCGCCATTTATTCAGGTCGAATGCTACCATGTAAATACCAGATCATGGAGGCAAAACTGGTTTCTGACTTGGCAGAGGATCTTTATAGACTTTTATTGACTCTTCATTAACTTTCAACGTGCAGTGAAAAGTGGAATATGCAATGTCTTATAATGTTGTGACAAGCAAAAAGCATAATCAAGGGTCATTTTCAGGCACCTTCATTGACTATATTGATCCTGCAAGAATTTCATTTAAAAATATGGTGGGTTCTAAGCGCAGATCAGGTGTAGCAATGGTAGATCTTGAGCGAAATTGCAGTTGTGGGCGATGTGGTAACTATTTTTCTTGATTTTCTCTAGACTCTTTTTTGGAATGGTAGCATGGTTGCCACAGCTGACAGTGTGGATGTCTGGAGAAATCATTCTCGATCTCTTGGGTGTTACACCAGGCCTGGAGACTCGTTTGTAGGATTCAAGCGTGTGGATTATCGTCACTTAAAACTTAGTGTAGTTGGAGCAAGGCCATTTGCGATGGGATGAAGTTTACGGCAAAACTCTCCTTTCTTCGTTGTAAGAACTTTTCTTCCTTTTTCATTCTTTGAAGATTTCGCATTTCATATATGAAAGGTAGTGCTGAGAAGATCCAGGAGCTCGTCCTTGATGCTCCCAAAGATCACAAAGTAGTTATACTCGGACACAATGGACCGACTGGTATTAAATCCTTGTTCCCATGCCTCTCCTTACAAAAGAAATCTTACAGGATTGGGCTCAGAAATCGATGATAAAGATTTTAGTGGACGTCTGATCCTGGTAATTTCAAAACCTCAACTAGTTTTTCCTCGACAGACTTGGCCGAGGCTATAAAATTTTGCGAAGAAGAGTGCGAGATACCTTTGGTGGTGTTTGGTCGTATGCACAGATGGTCGCGGCGCTCAATCGCAAGGTTTTTGTGAATGGTGCCGTGGTTCCCAAGGATTGAATCGAGAGTTTACCATGGTAGCGCTGCGAGACAACGAAGTTAGACTTGGGAGACTTGGGAGAGAGTTGACGCTGGAGATGTTTGCACTACCAGTGAGAGAGTTCTCTTTCAACTGTAGAAACTGTAGACCACAAGAAAGAAAAGACTTCGATGTGTAAAGAAATGTTTGGATATTCTTACTTCAGCAATGGAGCTCGAGCTTCTATCCAATCGATTTTTCCTAATGGAGCTCAAGCTTCTATCCACTCGAATTTTACTTCAGCTATGGAACTCCAGCTTCTGTCGATTTTTACTTCTTCAAAATCATTTTCCCAGATCAGTTACTTCCAACGGCTGTGATGCTCGCTTGTGACGGCTACGTTGTAACAAACGCTTTGCCAGAGTTGACTACCTTCCTCCAGTAAAAGGAGAGCTCAGGAATATAACAGAATATGCCGTCAAAGGTTTATCAGTTTACGGAGGGAGGCGCGGTCAGCGACACATTGTTTCCTCCCCTCGTTACATTTTCTTCCTCACGTTATGCCTCTCCAGGGACTACTTTGAGGATGTGAATCGGACGCGGGACAAGTTTGAGCAAACGCTTTCGGAACCTGTGCCATTTATCTCTCACTGCAGGTAGTGTAGATGCTGGATCAACCCGAGGGAGCTGGACCGGCACTCATCTCCACCACTCGAACGAAAGTAACGTTGTTAGCAACGAGTAGGAGCTGAGACTTAAGTCGTCACGAGTTCCCTGTCGTCGTTGAGCGATGCTCTGCAGCTTCGACTGAAATGGACATCCTCCCCTGACGTCCTGCGAGCAAAACGCACCATGGCAGGAGTGTGGAGGAAGGATATACACGTTGTGTTGAGATTGTTGTGGACGTTGCTAAGGAGCTTGATGAGATCGTGGTGCTCCATGAGCGTCTGGCATTCCGGGCATGCACGTATTTTCCTAGCTTCGAATTTCTTACTTGTCAGTGACGAGGAAACTGTCAGCGAGGTGAGCTATGGTGGCCTCCGAGGCGGTGAGAGCATCGATCCCGGCCTTGGCCTTGGCTTCCAAAGCTGCGCGTCATTCGCCTGGATGGATCCGAAGGAATGGAGCGTGGATTTAGGCGCTGTAGTGGAGAGATGTAACGAAGAAAGCGTACCTGTTGACAATAGTAGACATTCTGTCCAGAGAGACCACCCGAGGGAATCACACGATAAAATGCCCGGCAACGGTAAATGCCGAAATCAGACAAGTGGTCTTTCATCAGGTCGAAGACGTCGAGCGCCAGATCCGTGCAGCCACACCTGTTTTCCATCACCGAATCGTCAGGCCTCTCGTCTTGGAGGATCCGAAGCGATTCCCTCAAGACGAGCTTACCCTCCGGAAGAGCTCCGCAGAAGCGCCGCGGACTAACTCCAGTTGCCGCTTCATTCTCGCGGACTGCAAGACTCCATGCTTACTGCAAGTTTCCACGGCTGAAAACTTGCATGAGATCCCGCAAAGTGCCGGCGGTGCGTTTGGTTTGTACTGAACCTGCGATGATCACATTGGGAAACAAAGAGCTATTAGACACGATCAAACAAACTTTAAGGCAAGAGCTGTGATAGAAACCTTGACTTCATTGAGTTCCAGATTGCCTAGTTGCGGCCATGTGTATACTGGAGTAGAAGCTCGGCCGAGATTATTCTCTTTTCGGTGTCAACTCGACTCCACAGTGTCCATGTCAACACTGTTGTCAAGCTCAATGCGTACGTAACAGCAACTCCAGCCGAACCTTGCATTTGGAACCGTGAGCTTTCATCCATCCTAAGAGAGAGTTTTGCAAAAGGAAACAACGTACCTGGATTTTTGGGGAAAGCAAAGAGCAGGAGCATCAAAGCGCAGAAGCAAACGTCGGCAAGGACGCCGATCCCGAGAGTCAGAAAACTCCATTGGACGGTTGTTTAGGTTGACTAGGTGGAACAATCTCTCGAGACACTGTGGCTCCCAGTGGAATGCTCGTATCGTGGTGAAACCGCTCAGGAACTCCTCAAAGCGGTGAACGATGGGAACGCACTGGATCTCCATTAGTCTTGGGAGCTCGCGAATTGTCTTGATGTAGTATTTGTGCGAGAAAGGATTTTAGAAAGGAAACATTTTTGTAGTCAAGAGCAAATACCTGGAGCCAGTAAGCCACAGAAGCTAGAAATGCGAACACCGGGAGGACATTCCACGAAACAAATGAAACGATCACAATTATTGTAACAAGCTTGGTCATGTAGCCGGCTACCTTGGACAATCTCAGCACAGAGATATATACCAGGTTTGGCCTGTAGAAGCCTGCAAGAACACCATTGAGAAAGAAAAAGATCTGTGAGAAAAGTGAAACATGCTTACACGATTTAAGATTGGAGTGGCGTCAAAGAATAACATAGGAGGGAGGAACATGGAGCGGTACATGCCGAGAAAAGTCTCTATGAAGTTTTCAATCCCACCATGGTGTCGGCAGAGTGAAGCCAGTGAGCTTTCCAAAAAAGGCAATCTGAAAATGTTAAGATCCTATCCTTTACATCCTAAGCCAACTAATTAAAAAGGTGATCACTTGATTGTAAGGCCTTTTTTTTATGTATTATCTGAATTAGTGCCTAACAGAAAACCATGATAAACTCTGTCCCAGACATTTTCAGCCTCACAACTTGTGTTTTAGCTGCTTGCAAACCTTAATAAACAGATACTAAGATCACGGGAATGAGAGCTGATGTTAGATAGGCCAAGTACCCTGCTCACACTCCACATACCCTTTGCTCGGCTGCCTCTGTCTCTTCCAACTTTCGCTAGGTCTCGGCTGGAGCTTCGTTTCGATCCTGATTGGAAGACTCGTCCATTGTTGCTGCACGGCTTTTCTTGGCTGCGGAGTTCACTGATAAGCTCCCGTCAGCCATAACCTGTATGGTTCACAACAAGAAAGTTGGTGATAGACTTACGATCACTTTGTTGGCCATTGAGATGATGCATCACAAGTAGAACCGTGTGCAAAATACCTTGGATACACTGTGACTCTCATGGCTGATGACACTGCTAAGTGAAGATAGCAATTCTTTGGTGGCGAAGGCAGCAGAGGCCTACAAGCTTTAAAGAGCAACTGGCTTTGAAGGCGTCCGAGGTGAGAGCTAATGTTCAAGCTAAATGCAGATTGAGACCTTTCAGAATGAACAAGATGCAATAGTTGCTAGTGAGGCACAAGCAACTAGATAGCATACAACCTCAACATGCTTGGATACTGAGTAGTCGCAAACAACTAAAGGGTGATAAGTTGCTATAATGCTTATTTCCTACGTGCGCTGGCATACAATTCCTATATTCCTAGAGGGTAAGTCTCTCTCTACATATTTGTAGGAACTAGCTGTTTCTTTTGTTGGTAGACTTTGGCCTTGCATGAACCCGAATGAGCAAGTAGCAGTCGACAATGAAAACATTCGTCTTAGAATGTATCATGCACACAACATGGAGAACTTCCGAGGTTCCAACTTGCATGCAAAGTAATGAATCTGCCTAGAGCAGGATGAACAGTCACCATTGTACTGTATGATATTATGTATAGTACTGCATATGATATCATGTTATGTGTTACAGTTTGATTTGTGTCTTCCTTTATATTTTTTCTCTCTTGAGACTTATTGAGTGTCTTGTGTGTGTGTCTTTTTTTTTTCTTTTTGTATTTAGTATGAAGACTACATTAGCTCATGATTACATAGTATGAAAACAAAATAATCTCTAGTAGCATTGATATTCCTCAAGATGAAAAAAACAGATGTTAATGAAAAACAATGTAAGATAGATGTTTTGTATCCTCAAGCTAAAAAAAGTAATATTAGATTAAATAATAGTGCAAGTTAGTTATATATTTCACAACAAACTCATGATTCTTATATAAAATCCAAATGCATCTAGAATTTCATCCAAACTTGTTATAGGGTTTTTTATTGATTTCTACAACTTGGTGAGCATTATTTATAAAAAGCAAATTATTATTAAAAATCAAAATATTTAATTTTGTATGGATTTAATTTTAGATTAAATATGTTTATTAAATAACTTTCAAAGTTTT